AAATAATCCATCAATGAATAATATTTTGGAATCTTCAACTTACTTTAGATGGTTTCAACAGTAATAAATCTTTCTATAATACTAAAATCAAATAAAACTATTGTATTATCAATAAGTATACATGCGAAAAAAATGACCCATTATTATTATATAAGATAAATTGTTCATTTTTTTCTACATATTTGCTAGAGTAATACTTCATTTGACAACTGTAAATATATTGAATCTTAGTCATTTTGTTGTTATTTGCTATTCTATGACATTTTACCTGCTAATGTGTTGCGTGTGTTTTTTTCTACATAATTCAGGTTGCTTTATTTTGCTAAAAAAATAATAATAATAATATTTTTTATTTTATATTTAATATTTAATTGTGTGCTTTTTGTCGACATATCTAGAATGTGATCCAAACTCGATTTTAATATTGAGTTAAAAGTTGAAAAAAAAGCTTCAACTACGAGAATGATCTGTTGTAAGATTTTTGTTTTTTTATTAACACTAATTTTGGCATGCTTTACATAGTTAACACTGATCACCTATTTAGTTATTAACTCACACTAATCAATTTATTTGTTTATTTACTATTATGATTTTTTTTGTTTTGTTATTTAGGTTACTAATCCAATATTTCCTAAAAGTCGAAATACTTATACGATCAATCTATTAACTCCAAAGAATTCCGTAATACCTGATAATCATAATCAATCATCCCCCGAACTAATCCGTCTTGCTCCTTTATCATCATCATCATAATCCGTTATCGCCGTCCATACATATATATTTATGTTATCTTTTCGTTGTTATTTCATATTGCAGATAAAATCTATAAAAAAAAATTTATTTCTTGTTGGGTGTGCTATTTGTAAATCTCTGCGTTGTTTTATTGAACAAAAATTCTCTCTCTCTCTTTTTTTTCCTTCTTCTTCGTTTTGATAATGGTGACGGTAAAAATGCTGCTTTGTTTTTATAATTAATTTATGCTTTTTGTTTTTTTCTTTTTCGCTCATGAGATTATCATTATACATATCTTTCGTTATTTTAATAATTGAATAAGATAATGCAAAGAATAAAATATATAAGAATACAAGACTACAATAAATAAATAAATAAATAAATAAATAAATAAATAAAAAAAATTTTAATATTGTTTTTCAGATTCTTTTAAAGGAATGACAAAGAAAAAAGTTGTAAAACCTACTAATAGTTTGGTTTCAGGAGAACTATTAAAAGAGTAAGAGATTTATGAAATAGATTTTTTGCTATATTAATGATTATTATTATTATTATTAGTGTTCAAGCATGTCGACCTTTACGTTTGTTTATTAAAAAACAAAAAAAGAAAGGAGTTGAAGTATGTGTATTGTTTAAAAAATAATTTGTAGCATATAAATTTTCTTATTAGAGTACACCATTTGCTCTTCGAGCAGAATTTCTTCAAACATCGCCGGAAAAACAAGTGAAGTATTTTCAAAAAGCTATTGATAAATATATTCAATTACTTGTAAGTAAAGCCTTCTATTTTTGTTGAATATATATATATATCATAATTATTTATAGGATGAAAAAGATATTGATGAGCATGTGCAAATCGAAGGTCAATTATTTGAAAATTTATTATCAAAACGGGAACAGAAAATGTATTTTGATTCACTTGATGCACCAAAAAAACCATTGAAGTAAGTTAAATATATTCTATAAGATGAGATTTTTTCACCCTTTATGGTAAAATATTAATATCATATCGATATCATTACGAACTATCGAATGTATACTTTATGATCAAAAATCAGTAAGGGAAATAGGTAAAAGGCTAACGAGGGATGACCCGCAACTGACAAATCGTTTTTGGGCTGATATTTTGGCCATAGGTAAGTGACCATGAGTCTAAAATAACCCTAACAGGATTAGTGCTATTAGGCCTTTGGAGCTGAGTTATACCCGTTTTACTGGATTTTTACCTATGGTACCGGATTTTCTTAAAGAAGTAAATTACCGAATTTAGATCTAAAATTTCATCATCAAGAGATCTAAGGATCACTAGAATACCGTGAAAATTTCAGTCAAAACGAATGAACCCGTCCTGAGATATTGAATTTTGAAAATCCAACCATTTTGCTGAATTTTCCGCAGTGATTAAACTTCGAAAATTCAGTATCTCAAGACGGGTTCATTCGTTTTGACTGAAGTTTTCACGGTATTCGAGTGATACTTAGATCTCTTCAGGGAAATCCGGTGCCATAGGTAAAGATCCAGTAAAACGGGTATAACTCAGGCCCAAAGGCTTAATAGCACCAATCCTCTTAGTTTTATTCTAAACTCATGGTCACTTACCTAAGATTCTGGCGATCTCAAATAGATTAACACTTGAATCCTATACGACATATTCACTATCAGTCTTAGCCTTTTACCTATTTCACTTACTGGTTTTTAACAAAGTTTTATAGTCGAAATTCTAGTTTTGATCCCAATATATACCTACTCATTTCTAAATCATTAAAAATATAATTTAAATTAATAATTTTTTCCTTTAATTAATAGTACAGCATTTGCTTATTATGCTGAATTTAATAAACAAGAACATAATGATAATCCAAAAGCATGGAAATCATTAACAGCTGATGAAAAAGAACCATATATAAAAATGTTGAATGATGTAAGATATTTATTTAATGAGTATATGTATAACTATAAAAATCTTGATATTTTTTTCAGGCTAAAGATGGTTATACTGCTCAAGTACAAAACTTCAGTGAAAATTTACCTGATCGTCTAAAACCTGAGTATTTATCATTTATTAATCAGGGACGTCAAACTTCGCAAGTTAATGGTGAAAATACTCAAGCAGAACCTATAAGTCAACGTCGTAAATCTTCTCAACCATTACCTGAAAGTTTTCAAGCTATTGACAATGATCATCAACCAAAATTAAATCGAAGTCAACGTGATGATTTACATAAATGTACACCTAGTACACTCTATTATGAAAAAAAAGTTCCTGATGATGAAAAACCGGTATTTGCAAATGTAACAGCTAAAAATGTCTATATACGATCAGTATATAATCAATTAAGTGAAAAAAAACGACATAAATTTATACTTAAATCAACAGCAAAATGGGAAGAATTTCTACAGTTAAATCCAACAATAGTTGAAAATCATATTCCAACACTTCATTTATTATTAAGTAAAACTGATGATATACATTATTATTTTACATCACTTGGTTTACCATCCCGTCCACCTGTAAGTGCACTTTTATTATATAGTAATGAAAAACAACAAACAGGTCTACAAAAAAATTGGGCGGATTTATCTCAATCAACAAAAGATGAATATATAAAACGTTTAACAAAACTTAAAAGTGAATATCATCAAAAATTAATTGAATTTGTTGAAAAAACTTTACCATCAGATTATATAAGATTTGAATTTTTTCGTAATATTAAAAATGCAACAAAAGATTATGAATCAGTTAGAAAAGATCGAAGTCATGATAAAGATCGAAATCATGAAAAAGATGAAGGACAATCAAAAATTACTCAATATTTAAAACCAAAGAAAAAAACTGATAATGATGATATTAGTGAATTTGATCGAATTGAACAAGAATTATTATCAACTGAATTAACAAATCAACAAAAACAACTTGTTCAACGTCTTGGACAATTAATGAAGAAATATATAGATGAAACAGTAAGTGAAAGAGTCTAATTAATAGAAAATGCGCCAATTTATTCATGTATTTATTTTAGAATACAGAAACAATAAAGTCTTCCAACTCAAAAAACTCAGGTAATGAAGTTAGTAAATCAATTACAAAACATCGAGCATCCACGAATTCTAATGATTTGATATTGATCAATGGTGAAGATTCAAGTGACAATGTCGAACATATTGCACATGAAAAAAAGAAAAAACGTAAACGAGATAAAGGTGAAGATGGAAATACAAATACAATTGCAATTAATAATGAAAAAGAAAAACAAAATTCATCATCTTCATCAATGAAAAAACGTAAATGATGTCAGATGGATAAAGATAAGCATTCTTTTTGAAATTTTTTTCTTGTTATAGTTCTTTGTTATTGTGTTGTTCTTAAACATCTCTTTATATTCCACATTGGAAGTATATTAGTGTCTTTTTTTATAAACCATTTTGATAGTAGAGATCGTTTTGACATCTCTGTTTTTCAAAATGATTTGTTTTTCAAATAAACGTGTCATAGATATTATGATCAATTCAATATCTTTCTTCATCTGATATTTATTAAAAACGAGCAATATACCATAAGGTAACTATGCAGTTGATCGACAAACTGTCGTGTCGAAGAAGTGACGTGTCGACAAATGATATAGATTCGATTAGAGTAATAATAGATACCTACGAACAAGGTTTTATGAGAAATTAGAAGTTGAAATTGTGTTACGTTTATGATGCGGCAACGTGCATTAGAGACCTCTTTCGATAGATAGATCTATCGGCTAACTCTGGTAACGACACGTTTTTTAGGTTGATTTTATTCTAATTTTTTCTGTGTTAAGCACTACTAATCTTTTTTGATCATTATTTAAGATATAATATGGCTTTTTTGCGTGTTAGTTCACTTTTTTCATCTTCAACATCTTCGACACCACCACCAACAGCAAATGATGCTACATTTAAGCAAGAAACTGTAAGATATAATTAACGCTGCTCTATTTCTATCAGTAATGAAAGAGTGTTTTTCGCACTATGCTTGCAGGGCTAAACATGACAGATACACATCGAATATCGTTGTACTACTTTGATGAATTCCTCATATATTTACAGATCGAACGTCTTTGTGATCGTCTACAATCATCAACACGTATTGAAGATCGTCGAGATGCTGTACGTGGCCTTAAAGGACTTTCAAAAGTAATTTTCATATTTTTTGAAAATATATTTTTATCTTCTTCAAAAAAATATCAATAGAAATGTAAACTTGAAGTTGGAACACAAAGTATGAGTTTATTAGCAAATGTTTTACAAGGTGATCGAATTGATTTGGATCTTATTCAATTAGCATTAGAAACATTAGCGAATGTAATGACATTTGAAGCAGATAATGATGAAGGTAAAATAATGATTAAAATTCATAAAAATTCTTTAAATCTATTTTCTAGAACAACGAAATTTACCACAAGATATAACCATTCAATTTACAGAATTATATATTAAAAATAAAGAACATGTTCATGCAGCTCTTGATCTTATTGAAGAAACTGATTTTAATCTTCGTCGTGCAGCTATCAAATTTGTTACTGTACTTCTTACTAATTGTACAAAAATATTACAAGATATTATTCTTGAAAGTGGACCAATGGGTGTTTCAAAATTAGTTGATCTCTTACAAGATGAACGTGAAGTTATTCGAAATGATGTTCGTTTTTTGTTTCAATATAAAATATTTACTATTCGATTTCAATAGGCTCTTCTATTACTTCAAATATTAACACAATCAAATGCAAATATACAGAAAATTGTTGCATTTGAAAATGGTTTTGAACGTTTATTTGAAATTCTTCATAGTGAAGGTGGCAGTGAAGGAGGTAGATGATCTTTTTTTTCTCCATTTTCTTCGTATCATTTAATTAAATTCTTTGTAGGTGTAATTGTCGAAGATTGTTTATCTGTTCTATTGAATTTATTAAAAAATAATACATCAAATCAAAGTTATTTTCGTGAAAGTTCTTTTATTCGACGTTTAGTAGATTGTTTCGAACTAAATTCTATTGGTGATAAACATTGGTCAACACAAAAAGGAACCAATGTTCATCTTTTATTACAAGTAAATATACAAATTAAATTAAAAAATCTAGGTTTTTTTATCTATAAAGGTTATTCGAATACTTGTATCACCAACAAATTCAAATCAAAATATTGTTGCATGTCAACGTACTGTTAGTCAATGTGGTCTTCTACATCGTCTATGTGTTATGCTTACATTAACATCAATTCCTGCCGATGTGTTAGCTGAAGTGAGTTTTTGTTTTCATATTTCCATTAAAAAAATGTGAATTACCGATAGACTATTAATACAATTGGTGATATTATTCGTGGTAATACTGATAATCAACAATTTTTTGGGTCTGTAATGAATAGTACTGGTGATGTTCAACAGTAAATAAATAAATTTGATCTTTTGAAATGAATTTATTCAATGAAAATTCTTTCTAGGCCAATATTATTAAGTCTTCTTTATACAATGATTACTGCAGAGAAACAATCGTTTCCACTTCGAATATCGATTCTTTATTGTTTTCAATGTTATCTATATAAAAATGATTATGGTAAATCAATGATTATTCAAACACTTTTACCTCAAACAGAGAATGGTATATTTATTGATGAATATTATTTAAAAAAAACAGTTTTCTTTCAATTCTAGTTACAAATCAATATACATTTGGTCATTTATTAATTATTGGTTTTTTAAGTAAAGATACTGTTGCTTCGTGGTGTTCTAGTATTGCACTAGCACATTTAATTGCTGATAATCAACAATTTAAAGAAGCTATTCTTAAAGTTGTACTTGCAGTTGATCAATCACAATCAGGTACAAAATCATTAATGGAAATATCTATTGATCTGTTAGAAAATGTATATTTATAAATACCTTTGTTTTTTTTGTTAAAATCTGTTTGTCTTTTTATCAAATAGTCTTCATCTTCTTTTCACACTCGTATTGCAATACTCATTTTTCTCTGCACATGGTTAGCAAATTGTCCACTAGCTGTACAAGCATTTCTTTCCATTGCAAATAGTATTTCTTGCGTATGTAATTTTTGTTTTTTCGAGATAAATTTTAATAGATTATATTTAGTTAATTTCACAAATTTGTGCACAATCAGTTGCAGATGATCGTGAAGTTCTTATACAATCCTTATGTTCATTTGCATTTGGATTATGTTTAGTTTTTAATAATAATCAAATGACAACATATTCCACGTAATTTTATTTTTTTTCAGTCAAAAGAAAATTCCAATAGACTTGTTTTATTTTAGTGAATCACTTGAACGAATTATCAATAAACGTATTGGTATTGATTTCTTTCAAGAAAAACTCGAATCACTTTCAAAATCAGATTATTATGCGAAAGCTTTACAAAAACCTCAATTGAAATTATCAAAAGCAAATGATATGATACTTGATTATGAATTCGCTCGTCTCTATAAAGTTCTTGAAGGTTCAATCACGCGTACATTAACAACACGTACAAATGATGGACAAGCACAACCACCTGATCAATCAGCAGCAATACTAGCGCAATATACGGATTTAATTCAACAGCAAAATCAACAAATACATAGTTATCAACAACAAGAAAGACAATTTTTTGAAGAACGTGATTCTTATCAAAAGAAAATTCTTGAATTAGAACAATCATTACAAGAAATTCGTAATCAATATACATCATTGCAATCTTCTTCTTCTTCTTCTTCTAAACAAAGTCCTGACGATGGTTTAAAAACATTATGTGAACAACAACAAGCCGAATTAGAATATTCAAGAAATATGATAGTAATTTTTCGTAAGATTTTGTTTTTCTATTATCAAATTTAATCTTTCATAGGCTTACCAACAGCAGCAATATTATTATTTAACCCAATCGTACGTTGAATAATGATTTTTGTTCATCATTGTTAATCTTATGTGTTTTTAGAATTGAAAATGGTGTTCAGCAACTTAATTTGAATAGTACTGATAATGAACATGCTGTATTAAATGCTAAAATTATTGAATTGCAAGAAAAACTAAATGCATTCGATGAACGGTAAGGATGAAATTCTAACAGTACTTTCGTTTTTTTACAGTATTGATTTTATTTAGCTGTGTAGCACAAAATGATGAAATCGCTCGTCTTCAATTAGAAAATAATATTTTACAAGAAAAAAATACCAATGAAAAAAGAAAAGTTTCCGTTCTTGAAGTATGATATCGGACAATGTGATTTTCTTTTCTTTATATGATTTTTCTTTATCAGAGTCTTGAAGGTCAAATGCAAGAAATTATCGATGAAAAAACTAATTTAAATAATGATTATCAAAAATTAAATACTGCATATCAACAAAATCTAAAAGAACAAAATGATTTACTAGTTCTATGTTCCACATATGAAGATCAATTAAAAACATGTCGTCATCTAATTCAATCAGGCGGACTAACAGTAAATTAATTGAATGATATAATTTATTTTCTTTTCTCTTTCTTTTAGGTACCAAACTTTTTAATTGAAATGGATAATACAGAATAATAT